GCTCCCCAGTGGCGGCGTTGGACCACCAAGCCACAAAGAGGGTGCGGCGTCAGAGCTACAGATGTCTCATCAAGGTTGAGATGCAAAAGACGTCGGGGTGCACTTGCATGTCGAAGGAAGCTGAGCGATTGGAAGAACACCGCCACCTCTGCCCGGACACAAATTCAGATTTGGGCCCCCCATTTTTTGGGCCAGAAAGCGGTCCCGTTTTTGGTACTGGGCCGATTTGCAACTCCAAATATGATGCTTGCTTGTGACCCCAAAAAAGGCTCCTCAATCTATGCAAAAAGTCTTAACTTCAGAAGAAAATGCACCCAAGCCTTCTGGGGCAAGCGCGCAGGCTCCACAGCCACACGCACTGGCACGGTTCCTCTACTCACATCCCAACGTTTACACCATCGCTGCAACCACTTCCGGCCGCCACGGTTTGTGGCAGCCCGGCAGCCAGCATGATCACCCAATCTTCGTCGAAACTCGAAGAGGGCCGCCTCCGAGGTCGGAGCCGAGTGACAACGAAAGTTCTGCTGCCGAACCCAGCGAAAAAGGTTGGCCTCTGCCAAGAAAACGTGAGCTTCTCGAGAAGCATGTTTTTGGGCCGCCGTCTGCGGATCTGTACAGGCATGAACATCAGAAGCCGCAGCTTCCCGGTAAAGATTCTGGACAAACGTAATGCTTGGCAGCGTGTCGTCAGACGCTGCACGCCTCTGTAGTTGTCGGGCGTGCTGCATGGCCACTATTGCATTGTGACCGCTGAGAACATAGGTACACAAGACCTGATGCCGCTGCTTTGGGGAAAGTCCGCACGGCCAACTCACTCTGTGGGCTTTTCGGGCTGCCCTGACAAGCGGCCGCTGTCCTTCTCGCAAGCGCTGTTGCAGCTCGCGGCAGGTCCGCTTCAGAGAACACAAGCGACAGGTAGCTGCTTGGCAACGGCACTCCATGGTACAGAGCACTTCAGCACCGCAAAGCACTTCCTTTTGGAGGCTCATGCGCAGGCAAACTGCGGAAGTGCGAAAACGTCAGACGAGGCTTGGAGATGTAACTCTTGCAAGATTTCGTCGACAGTCTGCCTGCACCACTACCAACTACGTCGCTGACTCCTGACGCTAAGAACTTGGCCAGACATGCACACGACAAGCTGTGACGAACGACAGTCAAATACGGTCGATTCAATCTCGGCAAGGGCAACACAATGGCCCTCTATCCTTACGTCATGGTCGATGTGCGAACCAACAACGACTTGGCAATACAGTATCACACATCCCGCTTGTCGGACGTTGGAGCTTCAAGCATTGAGCGCTTCCGGTCCCACGGCGAGCTTTACTCTTTAAACAAAAGGTCATACGCATAGCCCATGGCGCGATTTCGCGGCCATATGCATTGGCTTGCTTCTTTCGAAGGTGGAGAACGACCCGCTGCTTGAGGGTCTATTTCAAAAGCTTGCAGCTTCTTGGACAGACAAGGCAGAGCTTCGCCCAGACACCCTGTCAAACTAAAGGATTTGCGCCACGATCTGCGGGACCAAAAGTCTTCCCGCGCTCTCATGAGCAAACGTACCCAGTCCAACTTGCTGACTTGTCCGTCACCAAGCTGTCGTAAGATTTGGTACTCCGTTCGGAGCCACCACTTGAAAGAGAAGAAGCCGCGCACGTCGAGCGGCTGCAGCAGGAATGTTGCGCCGGCCGGCACGAAATTCAATTTGATGTCAACCTCGCACGCCCGTAGAAAGACTTCTTTGGAAAGGTGGCATGGAGCCACATCGAGGGTGAGAACCGGTTCCAGCAACCATCTCCAACCGTCCAACGCTAGCGAAATCAGGTCCAGCATTGCCAAAAGCAGTGATGTGGAGTTCCATGAGGAGACTGTTCGCCAGACATGTGTCCCCGGGCGGCATTCTGCGGCCACTGTCTGCATCAAGCCCAGTGTAAACACGGACTTATTCCCGATGACGAAATGTGGCAAGCTCTGCTGAAGCTCGTCGTTGTCTGATATCACTGCCACATAGCTCACAAATGTCCGCAAGTCACCCTTGCGAACCGGCAGACGTGGGCCCTCCACGTCTGCTCCCCAGTGGCGGCGTTGGACCACCAAGCCACAAAGAGGGTGCGGCGTCAGAGCTACAGATGTCTCATCAAGGTTGAGATGCAAAAGACGTCGGGGTGCACTTGCATGTCGAAGGAAGCTGAGCGATTGGAAGAACACCGCCACCTCTGCCCGGACACAAATTCAGATTTGGGCCCCCCATTTTTTGGGCCAGAAAGCGGTCCCGTTTTTGGTACTGGGCCGATTTGCAACTCCAAATATGATGCTTGCTTGTGACCCCAAAAAAGGCTCCTCAATCTATGCAAAAAGTCTTAACTTCAGAAGAAAATGCACCCAAGCCTTCTGGGGCAAGCGCGCAGGCTCCACAGCCACACGCACTGGCACGGTTCCTCTACTCACATCCCAACGTTTACACCATCGCTGCAACCACTTCCGGCCGCCACGGTTTGTGGCAGCCCGGCAGCCAGCATGATCACCCAATCTTCGTCGAAACTCGAAGAGGGCCGCCTCCGAGGTCGGAGCCGAGTGACAACGAAAGTTCTGCTGCCGAACCCAGCGAAAAAGGTTGGCCTCTGCCAAGAAAACGTGAGCTTCTCGAGAAGCATGTTTTTGGGCCGCCGTCTGCGGATCTGTACAGGCATGAACATCAGAAGCCGCAGCTTCCCGGTAAAGATTCTGGACAAACGTAATGCTTGGCAGCGTGTCGTCAGACGCTGCACGCCTCTGTAGTTGTCGGGCGTGCTGCATGGCCACTATTGCATTGTGACCGCTGAGAACATAGGTACACAAGACCTGATGCCGCTGCTTTGGGGAAAGTCCGCACGGCCAACTCACTCTGTGGGCTTTTCGGGCTGCCCTGACAAGCGGCCGCTGTCCTTCTCGCAAGCGCTGTTGCAGCTCGCGGCAGGTCCGCTTCAGAGAACACAAGCGACAGGTAGCTGCTTGGCAACGGCACTCCATGGTACAGAGCACTTCAGCACCGCAAAGCACTTCCTTTTGGAGGCTCATGCGCAGGCAAACTGCGGAAGTGCGAAAACGTCAGACGAGGCTTGGAGATGTAACTCTTGCAAGATTTCGTCGACAGTCTGCCTGCACCACTACCAACTACGTCGCTGACTCCTGACGCTAAGAACTTGGCCAGACATGCACACGACAAGCTGTGACGAACGACAGTCAAATACGGTCGATTCAATCTCGGCAAGGGCAACACAATGGCCCTCTATCCTTACGTCATGGTCGATGTGCGAACCAACAACGACTTGGCAATACAGCAGCGGTAACCCGCAACATACTTGGAAATACCTGGCTTTCCTGCACCCCAAACTGGGGCCGCTGGTAAGGCACCGTGGAACAACAACAGTTGAGATCTGGCCAACCACCATCTTGCCGCCGGCCTTAAGATGACAGAGTCCCCCTCCAGAGACCTCCCTTACCAGTTTGGGCAAGTGCCCACCCTTCAACAGCGGAAATCTGGCCAAACGCCGTCTTGCAGCGACTTGGCACGACCTTCTGCGTCGGTGCAAAAGGAACGTCAAAGTAACCTGGACCTGACTTGGAGCTGGAACACCCCCAGGGTAACCCGCACATGAGCGTCCCGACGCCGAGCGGACAGCCTGTGCGCCGGTGAGAGCTTCCCAAGGCGCAGCATCATCGGCAAAAAAAGGGGGAGGGGTGCACGAGCAAGATGAACACCGTCCTGAGCCACGGCGGATAGGAGCAAAAAAAGGGGAGAGGGGTTTGAGCAATGGTGAGCATCAGCAAACAAAAAGGAGGGGCGTCAGGTACTTGCAGGCAAAGCCGCTTCCCCTAGCCCCTTGAGCCCTAAAGTCTTCTTCTGCTGTCTTCTTCTGGCGTCTCCACTTGCAGGCGGGGTGAGATGTCCGGGGCTCGCGCTCCCCGCCAGGGGTGTGCAGCTCCCGCTCGACATCCCATCCCTCACCCTTCCCACACAGACGCAAGGCGGCTACCTAGGGAAATGGTAGGGGTTCGGGACCTAGGGACAACCGGGCAGTGGAAAGATGAACACTCTTGCACGCAACAGGCTGTCTGTGACACTGTGCTAGGTGTGCCAGAAGCGGCGTGAAGCCAACTGGACGCGTAAAAGCCAGACAGCTATCGAGCTTGCAACATGCCTTTTTCGAGACGACGGTGCTCAAGCCTGTGCACGTTTGAACGCAACAGCTGGCATCTGTCAGAAGCATGGAAGCTGCCCGCGTACTGTCAACCACAAACCACTGGAACATGTGTACAATTGGCATGCGCCTTCACAGCAATCTGATGTACTCAGGCTTATGGAAGACATAGCTGACAGCTTCGGAAGAAAGGATGCAGGACATGTGAACGATGCACAGGACGGAGAGCAACAAGTCTGGAAATCCAAGGTTGTCGCCTGCCTGTTGCCTGGATTTGGCGTGCACCCGATGGCAAGCAGCAGTTTTCCTGTCGCACATCAGTTGAGCCCGACTTGGCTGGGCATGACAAGCCAGAGCATGCGGGCATTCGCAGGCCTCAGCACACTCGCGGCCGCGGCCCGCCCTCCCGCCCAAGCCCCCTCCCACCGCCCTACATGCTTGAAAAAAAGCGGGCGCGGTTCAAAGCAAGCTCAAAAATCAAGAAAACATGTCAAAAATCACGCAACTCCAAACAAGCGAAAAACACAACAAAACACTGCAACTGTTGGTGATATCTAGATAGTTTGACATGCCCGAGCCGTTCAGAACGAAGGACAACACTTCCAAAACATTGTTGCATGTGGAAAAAGCCTTTGTCTGCTCCAACTTGAAAGGAAAAACAGTTATTTGTATTTTTCAATCGGTTCTTGAGCCAGAGCTGCCTCCTGGCGTCCATTTCTGCCCCCAAAGCGGCTTGCCCAAAAATGGTTGCAGAGTCTTCCCCTATCATTATATGGCTTCGTGGTTTAGGCACAGAGCACAGACAGAGTTCCGGCTTCTTGGCTTTCACGTCTCATACAGCGGCTGCTTGCAGTCTATACAGATTGAATTACCTTCGAGCCACTCGCGCTCCTCGCTCTGCAACTCCTCCAGCTCACGCAGCCAAGAGTTCGACGTCAGAATCATAGCGACGTTGTAGACATACACGCTGTAGGTGAACAGATTTGTTCCAGAGTGGGCGAGCGTAACCTCTTCTGTGGACCCCTGAAACAGGCGACGATTGCGCAAAACCATGTCCGCGGAACCTTCATCATACAAGATGGCGCGGTGGACCAAAGGGTTGAAGCCACGCAAGTCAGGCTGACTCACGCCACAGCAGTTGAGCTCTAGTGTCTGGCGATGACCGAAGAGGCTGCGAGCATAGATTGTTTTACCAAGTCGCGTGGGACCAGTTAAAACAAGGAAGCTCCTTCGGAACATGGGGCGGGCGAACTGTGGCAAGAAGTCGCGCTGGACCTGCTCCAGCACAACGGCTGTCTTCATGAGGGGCTGAAGGTCCAGGAGCGCTTGCGCCTTGCGCGCTGCAACGGCCTCTGTCTGCATGCACTGTGCATGGAACTTCATGTTGTCTAAATAGGCTTTCACGTGCTTCTTGCAGCGCAGGTACTCCTTCTCCGCAACCTGCTCCGTAATTTTACAGGCCTGCCATAAATTGGTAATCCAATCCGGCGCAATTGGAAAGGTGGTGAAGGCAGGAGCTGTCGTCGTCATATGAATGGAGCCAATCTTCGGAACCTGTAAATAATAATGCCCCTGATCGTATGCCTTTCGGCAAGCTTTTCCACGGGCTTGCTTGCACTCCACAGACTGATGCGGAACGGCACCACGAAACAACAGACTGGGCTTCGGCAGAGTCACCGTCTGTCCTTACTTTTACCCCACAAAACTACCGGCAAGGACCCAGGAGGAACGCCCGAATCGATATCGGGCGTGAGGTGTCACTGGCAAAGCCAGCGGCGGTGGAAACAGTGGGTCATGTTCACATCAACCCTTTGAAACAGGGCACCTAATTAGCTAACTGCACCGGCGACCGCAAAACCGAGCCAGGACGCAGAACATAACCAACTAACCTGCGCCAAGCATCTCGAGTCAAACATCAGATGAAAGTGGATGCTGGGCACCAGCTTCTCCAGACTCACAGCGGTGTGCAGCTCACACGCAAGAGTCATACGATCCAGCTTGCTTTGCCGTAGCTGCTGCGCAAAGCGTTGGAACTCATCCCAAAGGCTTGCAACCTCGACATTGTCCTGCAAGAGGCGACAGATATCGGCAATCCGCGACTCCCCTTCTGCCAACATTGCACTTGCCCCGGCATCTGTAATCCTGGACCAGGAGCCAGAGTATCTGAACATCGTGCCACTGCCGCGGTAGGAAGGCAGCGGTTGCTCATTCAAGACTATGGGGGGTTCTGCGTGCCAGGAGGCAAGCAAAGCTCTTGCTGCAGCCATGAGATGAGCAGGCACTTGGCCCAGCATGGCCTGTAGAACTGGAACCTTATCTATGCTGGTAAACTCCACTCGCAGGACATTGCGCCTCTCATGACCATGTGAGCCTTCCTCGACCATTCTCCTCGCAACCCACGTGTCTCGGACAAGGGTCTGGAGCTGGGTCCGTGTTTGCCTGCTGCTTGCCCTGCAAACGACGACGTTTTGCGGGCAACATGGCTCAGGCAAAATGCCCGGATTTACATGCACGGCACGTGCCAATTAGAGACAGGCAGTCACGCTTCTGTCAGATTCCCACGCAGTTACACAAACCATACGGCGCTCCCGTTTAGTTAGAGGGTTTGTGGGAAAGAGTCACCTGCACGGTACGTACCAGTTAGAAGCAGGAACTCACGCTTGTGTCAGATTCCCCTGCAGTTACGCAAACCATGTGGTGCTCATGAAAAGTGGTGAGCTCTTTGGTGAGAGGCACTGAAGCTCACTGTCCAAGCCTGCGAAACGCTGCGCAGGAACGTGACAGGACCCAATGTCTACCTTCTCTCATTGCAGAAACCATTACCGCAGGACCGCACAGGACAAGCCACGTACGAGAACTGCAAGATGACACGCGTGGTCCTGCAAAACCGTTGTGGGACAATAGAATTATTAGTCCAAAAAACGGATTTGCAGGACCACGGGTTTTCGAGGCCTGCTTTCCCGGAACGTTTCGCGGGGCCGCGTGCCCAGAGCAAGCTTCTAGTGGTCTCCAGGTCTTTGGCCACGAGGTGGTAGGAGACGAAGGAACGTCCACAATGGGACTGGCTGCCCCGGAACTCCAAGGGAACATCCCTGGGCTGGGTTGTTCGTGGGGTGTGAGCAAAATGAGCACCAGGGATGCAGCATGAGCATGACAAAGGGGGGCGTTTGAGCAAAACGAGCACCAGGGATATGAGCATGACAAAGGGGGGGGGGGGCGTCTGAGCAAAACGAGCAACACGTATTTCATGTACCTGTTTCTGTACACGTCACGTGCAGAGACGCGCAAAGCACAAGCATTGCGGCGCCATTATGCAGTGGTTTTGCCTCAACCCAACAACTCGGCCGAAGCATGCCCATGTTTGTCTCACATCCTTGAGCGGCACTTCGCACGCGTGACGAACATGGAGAAAGGAGAGATTGTGTGAGAGCGATAGAAAATGCGCCCTGTCCGAACTGCCAGCATGCGTCCCCCCCCGTAGCTATGCTTCTGCTCACCGTCTACACGTCCTTACTTTCAAAAACTTAGGCCCAAGTATGCACATGTTTGTCTCACATCCGTCAGCGGCACTTCACAAACATTGACAAACGAGAGCTTGCGTGAAAGAGAAAGGGAGAGCTAGACAGAATGCGCCCTCTCCGACGTGGCCAAAATGCCCTTACCGTCGCTATGCTTCTGCTCACCGTCTCCACGTCCTTACCTTCAAAAACTTAGGCGCATGCCCAAGCATGTCCATGTTTATCCCACATCCTTGAGCGGCACTTACGCGCGCGAGATTGTGTGAGAAAACGAGAGCGTGAGAGAGTGTGAAAGAAACTGTGCCCTGCTCTGTAGGACCAAAAAGCGAAAACACCCTCCAAAATATAATCAAAACCATACAAAAACAATCAAGTTTGACATGTCGGGCGTAGTGACTTTTAGGGTTTAGGATGGTTGCCCTGACCCCACAAAAGGATCACACCTTCAAAATATAGGCAAAACCATACAAAAACAAGCAGAGAGCAAAAAAACACCAAAATCAAGTTTGACATGTTGGGTGTAGTAACTTTTAAGGTTTAGGATGGTTGCCCTGACCCCAAAAAGGAAAACACCTTTAAAAACATAGGCAAAACCATACAAAAACAAGCAGAGAGCAACAGAAACACCAAAATCAAGTTTGACATGTCGGGTGTAGTGACTTTTAAGGTTTAGGATGGTTGCCCTGACCCCACAAAAGGAAAACACCTTCAAAATATAGGCAAAACCCATACAAAAACAAGCAGATAGCAAAACAACACCAAAATCAAGTTTGACATGTTGGGTGTAGTAACTTTTAAGGTTTAGGATGGTTGCCCTGACCCCAAAAAGGAAAACACCTTTAAAAACATAGGCAAAAACATACAAAAACAAGCAGAGAGCAACAGAAACACCAAAATCAAGTTTGACATGTCGGGTGTAGTGACTTTTAAGGTTTAGGATGGTTGCCCTGACCCCAAAAAAGGAAAACACCTTCAAAATATAGGCAAAACCCATACAAAAACAAGCAGAAAGCGAAAACAACACCAAAATCAAGTTTGACATGTCGTGAATAATCCTGTTGCTGACAGGATGGCCTCCAAATCGGAGCGAATAGAATCTTCAGCTGTATGTCCGAGGGTTGCCTCCCGGATGCCAAAATCGACGGGCAACATCAGCGTGATTCAGCGTGGCATACACATTTGACAAAGATTGCACAAGTACTGCAAAGGCCTACACGGGCAGGCATTCGAGCAGATCTGTTGTGAGGGAACGGACTGGGGCCGGGGCGTGTGCACATTTTTCGCAGAGGTCGAAGCCGCTGTTGCTGCATCGAAATGTGACGGTAAAGACCTTCAGCCAACTGGACTGGCAAGCGATGGGGGCAGATGGCACTCAATGGTAGCGATGTGTCACGAAGAAAGCGAAAACAACACCAAAATCAAGTTTGACATGTTGGGTGTAGTAACTTTTAAGGTTTAGGATGGTTGCCCTGACCCCAAAAAGGAAAACACCTTTAAAAACATAGGCAAAACCATACAAAAACAAGCAGAGAGCAACAGAAACACCAAAATCAAGTTTGACATGTCGGGTGTAGTGACTTTTAAGGTTTAGGATGGTTGCCCTGACCCCAAAAAAGGAAAACACCTTCAAAATATAGGCAAAACCCATACAAAAACAAGCAGAGAGCGAAAACAACACCAAAATCAAGTTTGACATGTCGTGAATAATCCTGTTGCTGACAGGATGGCCTCCAAATCGGAGCGAATAGAATCTTCAGCTGTATGTCCGAGGGTTGCCTCCCGGATGCCAAAATCGACGGGCAACATCAGCGTGATTCAGCGTGGCATACACATTTGACAAAGATTGCACAAGTACTGCAAAGGCCTACACGGGCAGGCATTCGAGCAGATCTGTTGTGAGGGAACGGACTAGGGCCGGGGCGTGTGCACATTTTTCGCAGAGGTCGAAGCCGCTGTTGCTGCATCGAAATGTGACGGTAAAGACCTTCAGCCAACTGGACCAAGCGCATCTTTGAAAGTCGTGGCATGAGAACAGAAACAGCACCATGGTGTCCGCATCTCTCCAAGTGCGCGACCACTGCGGCATCCACCGGTGAAATCGCGACCGCCGCGCACCCAACCGCTGGAAGCTTCTTGGGCAGCTGTCGTGTGGTTTCGGATAAGAACAACAACGTGCACTGTAAGCAAGAGCCAAAGAGAAACAAGCAACCACATTCGATCAACATCTGGGCGATCAGCATGTTTGGTTGGCTGAGGTCAAGCCTTCAAGGTTCAATGCATAGGCGTGCTTGCATTCTGTAGAACGCACAACTTGACGCTGCTGGCAATCTGCCAACTGGCGATAGCTAACGCAGACACAGCAAAAACACATCTCAATGCAGGGTGGCTTGGACTTAGCTTCGCTAAACCGTTCACAGCTCAAGTCTCTTGACACTCTTCACCAACAGCATTGTCGCGTGGACGTTGCGCTTCTTGACGTGGTCCGGCATCTGCGTTTTGCCGTCTGCGCAGTAGCCAGATCAGTGAGTCGTCGTCCAAATCGCCTGCTTTTCGCAGGAGGCGGCGGCGCTTTCTGACCTAAAGGAAATTGCTTGGCTTTGCTGGCGCGCTTCAGTTCGTCCTGGCAAAAAAGGCACGTGTATGGGCAGCGTGCGCGCAAAGGACAGAAAAGTCTCTTGGCACCTTCAGCTCTTGCCGCTGCCTTTTGAGATCTCGTACAACAGCGCCAGCAGCAGCTTCGGCACTCATGGCTGCAGCAACCACCGTGGCGCATGCACACGTCTCTCTTTCCACCCACTTGAGGACACACGAAGCAAAGCACGCGTACCCGCTCAGAAACATTGCACACGCTGGGCCCTACTTCCAGCACCAAGAACGCATGGTCCTTTCCACCATGTTGCACCTTCCCAAGCAGTAAGTTATCTTAAGTTTTTGATCGTGCAGGATCTTGGAGAAGAAACAGCTGCATGTTCTGAAAAAATAGCTTTACGTCGCTTCAAAGCAAGCCTCTTTAATCTTACAGAAAAAACAGCTGCATGTTCAAAGCTAAAAATGGCTTAACTTCGCTTCAAAGCAGCCTCTTCTTAGAGAAACAACAGCTGCATGTTCAGGCTTAAAAATCGTTCAACTTCGCTCCAAAGCAGCCTCTTCGATCTTCGAGAAAAACAGCTGCATGTTCAAAGCTGAAAAAGCTTAACTTCGCTTAAAAACAGCCTCTTAGATCTCAGAGAAAAAACAGCTGCATGTTCAAAGCTGAAAAAAAACTTAACTTCGCTTTGAAGCAGCCTCTTCGATCATAGAGAAAAACAGCTGCATGTTCGGGCTGAAAATCGTTCAACTTCGCTCCAAAGCAGCCTCTTCGATCTTCGAGAATCAGCTGCATGTTTGAAGCTGAAAAAGCTTAAATTCGCTTTAAAGCAGCCTCTTCGATCTTGGGGAAAAAACAGCTGCATGTTCGAAGCTGAAAGACAGCTCAACTTCGCTCCAAAGCAGCTTCTTCGATCTTAGATTTAAAAACAGCTGTTAGTTCAGGTACAGGCAACGGGCAAGACCGCCGTGCTGCTGAACGCCAACAACCAGGCTCAGCTGGCCTCCAACTT